CCTTCAGAATATGTTTGTGTGTGCATATACATATATATATATAAGGTAAAGGTTTCCCTCACACCTATGTGCTATCATTCCCGACTCTAGGGGGCGGTGCTCATCTCCGTTTCAAAGCCGAAGAGCCAGCGCTGTCCGAAGACGTCTCCGTGGTCATGTGGCTGGCATGACTAAACGCCAAAGGCGCACAGAACGCTGTTACCTTCCCACCAAAGGTGGTCCCTATTTTTCTACTTGCATTTTTTACGTGCTTCCGAACTGCTAGGTTGGCAGAAGCTGGGACAAGTAATGGGAGCTCACCCCATTACGTGGCACTAGGGATTCGAACCACTGAACTGCCGACCTTTCGATCGACAAGCTCAGCGTCTTAGCCACTGAGCCACTGCTTCCCACCATACACAAACACACACACCTATATGTACAATCTGCAGGAATCTGAAATAGTGGTGACAATGAATAGGCAATGCAGGTAACACATCGCTGGCTTGCTGAGCTATGATTAGCAAAAAGCTCGATTCAATTACAGAAAGTGTGAGAAATATCACAGTGTTTTCTGGACACGCTCATACCTCTGGGTTCCAGAACCTGGCCAGCTTTGACACAAACATGTTTTTAAACAATGTAGAATAAGATCAAGATCGTGTAAAGTATTAGTACCCCTCTATACTGCACCCATTAGATCACACTTGGACTATCACATCCAGTTTTGGTCACCATGACAGAAAAAAGTTGTGCAGAGAAAAGCAACAAAGATGATTAGAGGACTGGAGGCTAAAACATAGGATAAATTGGGGGCAGTTGCAGGAACTGGGACTGTCTAGTCCAGTGTTGGTTAACCTTTTTGGTGCTGAGTGCCTAAAGCACACGCATGCACGTGCGAATGCACGTGCGTGTGCCCAGCCCCCCAAAATGCAATGTGAGAGTTCCCCCGTGCATGCCCCCTGGCCTCCCGTTTTGGCTTCCAGGTTGGTGCAGGAGGCCTTCCAGGCCCAAAATGGGGCGCAGGGGGGGGACAGGCACACGTACAAACCCCCAAAATGCAATGTGAGCATCCCCCGCGCATGCACCCCGCCCTCCCATGCATGTGTGGCAGAGACCTGAAGACCAGCTGGCCGACGGGAGGCACGTGTGCATGCACAGTAGAGTTGGGCTGGGGCGACGGCTGGTGTGCCAGGCAACATGCAGTGGTGGGTTCCTCCCAGTTCAGTCCGGTTCGGCCGAGCCGGTAGCGGTGACGATATGACATCACCGAACTGGTTCTCCCAACCCCCTGCCCTCCCACGTTATTCTTACCTTTTATTTGGCCCCACCCCCAATCTATTGCTGCCTCCTGAGTCCCAGCTGATGACTAGAGGGAAAAAAACTGTTTAAACTCTTGCCGCGGGGCTTCAAAGGGCCGTCCTACAGCTGATCAGTGTTAAAGGAAAACAAATGAGTCAGGTCATAAGTGCGAGGACTGGTCGTAAGTGCGAGGACCTTCCAGAAATGACTCTGACCAGCTAGCCACGCCCACCTAGTCACATGACTTCCAAGCCACAACCACAAAATAAGCCACGCCCACAGAACCGGTAGTAAAAAAATTTAGAACCCACCCCTGGCGACACGGCTCCATGTGCCACTTCGGGCATGCGTGCCATAGGTTCGCCATCATGGGTCTATTCTAACTAAGAGAAGGACTAGGGGTGATTTATCTTGTAATTTTCAGAAAGTTCCTTTTCATTCGGTCCTCTAAATTCATGATTATTCCTGCCCAGAGAGCAGGAGTGAAATCCAGCAGGTTTTGACAGGTCCTGGAGATTTCCGGCAGCGGAAATTTTGAGTAGTTCGGAGAACCGGCAAATGCCACCTCTGGCTGGCCCCAGAGTGAGGTGGGAATGGAGATTTTGCAATATCCTTCCCCCAGGAGTGGGGTGGGAATGGGAATTTTGCAGTATCCTTCCCCTGCTGTAGGAGTCTGCATACATGCAGGAATTTTCCTATCTTGGATGGCAAACCTCAGATAAGGAAGGTTACATGCACGTAGGCGCCAGGAAATGGCATTAGAAAATAAGACCCTAAATCTGTAAATAAGAGGAGTAAGAGAAGAGGAAGTGGGATATATGTTATACTTTAACTATAGCTAAATATTATAAGCGCTTAAGCAAGCAGTAATGGTTAACCAAAGATTTTAGTTACTTGGAAGACTTTTGTGAGCCAATGATATGCTGCCAAGTACTCTGTGGCTGGAAGTAACAAACTCTATAATGTCACTTTGTAAAGCAATAATATACCACATATGTCCTCAAACTTTGTGTGTGTGGTCATTCAACACCCTGCCATGCCCACCAAGCCACACCACGCCCACCAAGCCACACCACACCACGCCCACCAAGCCACGCCCACAGAACCGGTAGTAAAAAAATTTGAATTTTACCACTACCAGAGAGGATTCTGCGGTACCGTCAGCTCAAGAAAAAAATGTTCCATAAAATCTAGAAAATCAGTTTTGTGTAATGGTTAAAGTATTAGAATACAAAGCAGGAAGACCGCGAGTTCTGATTCTCCCTTCAGCATGGAAGCTGACGGGATGACTTTGGACCAATCACCAGGAGACAGTGAGTTCTAGTCCCGCCTTAGGAATGAAAGACTTTGGCCAGTCCAATCTACAAGGTTGTTGTGGAGGAAATAGGAAGTGCAGCCTTGATGCGTATAAAAATAAAGATGGGGTTATAAACGTAATACAGGTAGTCCTTGACTTACGACTACACATTTCCATTGCTAAGCAAAACAGTTGTTAAGTGAGTTTTGCCCCTTTTATGACTTCTCTTGCCGCAGTTGTTAAGTGAATCTGGCTTCCCTATTGACTTTGCTTGTCAGTAGGTCTCAGAAGGTGATCCCGTGACTGCAACCGTCATAAATATGAATCAGTTGCCAAGCTTCTGAATTTTAATCACATGATATGGGGATGCGGCAGTGGGTCATAAGTTTGTAAAACGGTCGCAAGTCACTTTTTTTCAGTGCCATTGCAATTTTGAACGGTCACTAAATGAACTGTTACAAATCGAGGATTGCCTAAATTAAAATAAATAAATAAACATTTTTCAAAGAAAGACCATTTCTCTGTGGGTTTCCTGAAGATGAGCAAGGAGGGAGTTTTTCTTGTGTCTTCCGTCATCCATTGTGGAAGATAGTCCTCAACTTGCAACCATTCATTTAGCAATCATCCAAAGGTACAACAGACGGTCCTCACACATCTGTCTGTTGCAGTGTCCCTGCAGTGACATGACCCACAATCCAGGTGCTTGCCAACCAGCTCGCAATTATGACAGTTGCAGCATTCCATGTTTTTCAACCTTCCCAACTGGCTTTCAACAAACAAACTCAATGGGGGAAGCCAGCAGGGAAGATCACAAGACACAGTCACATGATGTTTCACTTAACGACATCATGGTGGCGATTCGCTTAATGACCACAGCTACAAAGGTTGACAAATCAGGTACCATCACAGGATGCCGCATTTAACGGGTTAACAATGATATTTTCCGATCCTGATTGTGGATATAAATCAAGGAGTACCGTGTTTCCCTGAAAATAAGACCCTATCTTATATTTTTTTGAACCCCAAAATAAGCGCTTGGCCTTATTTTCGGGGAGGTCTTATTATTTTGGGGTGCGTGGAGCAAGACAGGGCTCCTCTTGCCATCTTACCTGATTTCCAGCTCTGTCTCCCTAACTCTAACCACAGGAAATGGCAGGGATCGGCTGCAAATGCGTTTAAATATTTTCGGGGAGGGCTTATTTTTGGTGGGGGCTTATTTTCAGGTGGAGCTTATTTTAGCGCATGCGCTCAAAAGCCCGATTGGGCTTATTATCAGGGGAGGTCTTATTTTTGGGGAAACAGTAATACATTAACCATTACACCAAATTCTAGGTTTTTCCTAGAATTTACGGGACTAGAACTCACAGCCTCCCAGCTTCTAGCCTTGTGCATTAACCACTGGATCTAACTGGCTGTGTAGTAACTTCTTCCAGCATCGCACACAGTTGTGGAAATCCAGTGGGGAAAAAATTCATTTTAGTTAAATGTCTCCCTAATCCTAATCAGAGGAAATGGCGGAGACCAGCTGCGCGTGCATTTAAATATTTTTGAGGAGGGCTTATTTTCGGGGAAACACAGTACCTGTATTAACACAATTGCACTCGGGTGTTACCTGGTTTGCTTACGGTGCTTTCAAACTCTGCAAACAAGCAGCTAAGCTCAGAGAGCATCAAGGATTCCACATCTTAACGTTTGCCAGAGCTGAGAAACACCGATCTGGATCTTTGCAGTCCATATTGGTAGCCGTGAACCTGGCTCAGCCCTCCCAGTTTTCTCCCTCTGCTCCAAACCACAGTTGGATTACTATCTTTCAGTGTGAGAAAAATAAGAATTATTCCTGTAAAAGCATAACCTGAGTTACGCCATTTTAAAATCATGTTAAGGCTTTGTTTTACCTTGTATAACCTGATTATATAATTTAGCTGACATTTAAGAACATGAGAAAGGAAGTGTGTAATTCCTGTGTTTTTGAGAGGATGTTTATCTTGCAGGAAATATGCTCTTGGGTTAACTTGCCCTCATTAATTAAAGGAAGTACGCAATTGATGTTTTTGAGGGGTATTTCTGTTGGGAATTGGGGAATTTCCAGGGTGGATTATGTACTGCATATGTTATATAAGATGTTATGTAAGATCTGAAACTGATTCCCAAGGTACTTTATTGATGTGTATTCTGATGTTCCTGAAGACTATAAAAACTCGTGTAAATTGTTTTATTTCCATCTTTCTCTATTCCAGAGAGAGAAAGGCCCTTTGCAAAGTAAATAAAAACTCTGTCCCAGGATTATTTTAGTCTCTGTCTCTTTAAAACGGTAATGGGATTTACCTGTCGACCACATTCAGCTAATTTTTTTTTTTGCCACTGTTTGCAAACCCTGAGTGAGGAGTGCCATTTGGGTCTGAAATCCATCCTCATCCCAACATATTGCACATAGGTTTTATTCAGAGCATCAGCTGAGTACAGGATGACTTACAGAGTCAATGCAAGCAAAGCAGACATCGGTATGATGGACGGGACCAAGTCTTTACGGTCCAGTTTCCCACAACCACTGGCTGATGGGAGAGTTGGCTCACCCGCGAGATTTCAGCTTTGTGGCTCAAAACAGGACAGGCAGGGAGGGGGTCTTTCCACCAAGAGCCGGTGGTTGCGACATGAGAAAGCAAGACAACGGAAAACTTGGAGGAGAGCAAAGGTGAGAGATCTGGCTTCTCTGCTGTAGTCAATGCCTTCAGGATGAAAACTTACAGATAGATTTAACAGAGTTGGAAGGGACCTTGTAGTCCAGGGCTCTGCAACCTTAAACACTCAAAGAGCCATTTGGACCCATTTCCCACAGAAAAAAAACCACCGGGAGCCACAAAGCCCTTCCTGTGCCTGACTATTTCTTGAGCGCCCACAAAACTAGCATATGTAGTTGAATTAAACGTTCTGTTTTCTTCTGAAACTTTTCTTTTTTTGGATTTATCCATGGTTAGCCTACCGGGGGTTGAAAAGCTCAATAAATCGCGTGCTGGCGGATGTTGCACATTGGTGGTTGGGATGCATATTTTGAGTGACAGGGAGCCGCAGCAGAGGGGTGAAAAAGCCACATGCGGCTCCAGAGCCACAGGTTGCTGACCCCTGATCTTGTCCAACCCCCTGTCTAAATAGACCCTACACCATTTTTGACAGATGGCAGTCCAGTCTCTTCTTGAAAGCTTCCAGTGATGAAGCTTCCATCCTGATGAAGCTCAGGATGAAGTTGCTGGAGAGGAGAAGGGGGTCCTTCTTTTCTGGATTTTTCAACTCACTTTTGGGACACTTTTGGCAGCTCTCCAGATCGTGCAAGAAAACAGAGAATCCTCAGTCTCTTCCAAAGACGTGGCTCAGGGTACGGCAGACGAGTTGCAAAATGCAGCCCTTCGCCAGTCCCCTCTGCTCCAAGGAACCCAGGGTCTCCTCCTCTACCCCACCCATGACAGTCCCCCAAAGTAGCATCATCGGCAATGTAGCAGCAAATGCGAAAGGCTAAAGCGGCACTTTTCTTCTTCCGAGATGCTGAAGAAGATTCAGATGAGCAGGCAAGGAACAGCAGGGTCAGCTCCAGCCGGGCGGTGATGCAGCACATGCCAAGACCTTCCAAGGTTTCCTAAAATTCTGGACGTTCCAGCTGAATTGCTGGGGAAGAGGACTCCTTCCCTTTCAGTGGAGGACTACGCAACCAAACTGCCACCCCCTCCTTTCTTTTGGACACAAATAACAATTCCCCTAAAAGAGGAGTTGGAGACAAATCTCCGTGGCTCGAACAACAAATGAAACGGAGGCGGTGAGCTTTTGGCTCCCCTCGTTTCTATTTATACATGGAAAGCTTTCCATCTTCCTGGAGCATCCTTGTCCTTTTTCGGGGGTTTCTCCCCGCCAGCCTCTTTGAAGCAATAGACCCCAAAGAGTTTGTATTTCTTGTCGGGGAAGCCCAGGTTGCGAACGCCGGGTTCCCGGCCCCCACAGCGAGACCTGGGGTTGACGATGGGGTAGCGGACGCTTCCGTCCCCGACCCAGCCGGCCTCGCACTTGTCCAAGAGCTGGATCTTCCAGGCGGCATAGAGTTGGCCCACTTTGGCCACCATAGCTCCGTTTCGCTTGCAGGCCAGAACGGCTTCGGGGAAGCTGAGTTTGCGGTAGGTTTTGAGGAAGAAGACTTTGCCTGGAAGAGATAGAATAGAATAGAATAGAATAGAATAACAGAGTTGGAAGGGGCCTTGGAGGTCTTCTAGTCCAGCCCCCTGCTTAGGCAGAAAACCCTACACCACTTCACACAAATGGTTAGCCAGCATCTTCTTAAAAACTTCCAGTGTTGGAGCATTCACAACTTCTGCAGGCAAGTTTTTCCACTGATTAATTGTTCTAATTGTCAGGAAATTTCTCCTTAATTCTAGATTGCTTCTCTCCTTGATTAGCTTCCACCCATTGCTTCTTGTTCTATCCTCAGGTGCTTTGGAGAATAACTTGACTCCCTCTTCTTTGTGGCAGCCCCTGAGATACTGGAAGACTGCTATCATGTCTCCCCTAGTCCTTCTTTTCATTAAACTAGCCATGCCCAGTTCCTGCAACCGTTCTACATATGTTTTAGCCTCCAGTCCCCTAATCATCTTTGTTGCTCTTCTCTGCACTCTTTCTAGAGTCTCCACATCTTTTTTACATCGTGGTGACCAAAACTGAATGCATTATTCCAAATGTGGCCTTACCAAGGCATTATAAAATGGTATTAACACTTCACATGATCTTGATTCTATGCCTCTGTTTATGCAGGAGGAGAAGCAGGGTAGAGCATCAGGAAAGGGGCAAACAGTTAGGCTTTTCCTGTCCTATGATCTGCAGCATATATGTGGACCTTTTAAGGCAGTGGTTCTCAACCTGTGGGTCACGACCCCTTTGGGGGGGTCGAACGACCCTTTCACAGGGGTCGCCTAAGACCATCGGAAAACACATATTTTCAATGGTCTTAGGAATAATTTTATGGTTGGGGATCACCACAACATGAGGAACTGTATTAAAGGGTTGCGGCATTAGGAAGGTTGAGAACCACTGTTTTAAGGTAATTCTCGATTTACAACCATTCGTTTACTGTCGAAGTTACGACAGTACTGAAAAAAGTAATTTATGACCGTTTTTCATATTTCTTAGACCGTTACAGCGTCCCATGGTTACATGATCAAAATTTGGACGCTTGTCAACTGGCATATATTTACAATATGATGTTTCCAATGTCTCGGGGTCACGCCAGTGGTGGGTTCCTCCTGGTTCGGTCCGGTTCGGCCGAGCCGGTAGCGGTGACGATATGACGTCACCGAACCGGTTCTCCCCCCCGCCCTCCCACCCCCCCACCCCCTCACATTATTCTTACCTTTTATTTGGTCCCACCCCCAATCTATTGCTGCCTCCTGAGTCCCAGCTGATGACTAGAGGGAAAAAAACTGTTTAAACTCTTGCCGGGCGGCTTCAAAGGGCCGTCCTACAGCTGATCGGTGTTAAAAGCAAACAAATGAGTCGGGTCGTAAGTGTGAGGACTGGTCGTAAGTGTGAGGACCTTCCAGAAATGACTCTGACCAGCTAGCCATGCCCACTTAGTCACATGACCTCCAAGCCACACCCACAAAATAAGCCACGCCCACAGAACCGGTAGTAAAAAAATTTAGAACCCACCCCTGGGTCACGCGATCCCCTTTTGTGACCTTCCGATAAGCAAAGTCAAGCGGGAAGCCAGATTTATTAACCATCTTGCTAACTTAACAACTGCATTGATTCACTTAGCAACTGCGGCGAGAAAGGTCGTAAAATGGGGCAAAACTCACTTAACCATTGTCTCCCTTAGCAGTGAAAATGTTGGGCTCTGTTGTAGTCGTAAATTGAGGGCTACCTGTAATTGGATCCCGAAGTCCCTCCCCCACGTAGGACTCTGGTTGGTAAAACTTCACCCAAATTTCTTTAAGATACCCAACCTCAACAATGACCATAAAGAGTCGGAAATGTCAATCAACCCTTGGTGACTGAGCCCCTGCCGTTCTCCCAGCGTTCATCACCAAGGTTAGCAACCTAGTTATAGGTGATCCTCAACTTATGACTGGTTACTTAGCAAGCACTCAAAGTTCCAATGGCCCCACTAAAAGGTACTTTATTCTGAAGTTCCAATGGCCCCACCCCCCCCATGGTCACATGACTGCATTTTGGGCACTCGTCAACCAGATTTAACAGATTAACAGAGTTGGAAGGGACCTTGTAGGTCATCTAGTCTAGCCCCCCGACCAAGCAGGAGACCCTACACCCGTGACGGCGAACCTATGGCATGGGTTCCACAGGTGGCACGTGGAGCCATATCGGTGGGCACGCGAGCTCAGCTCCGGCACTCATGCGTGTGCTTGCCAGCTGATTTTCGGGCCTTCTGGGCCCACCAGAAGTCAGGAAACACACTGTTTCCAGCCTCCAGAGGGCCTCTGGGCAGGTGGGGAAGGCTGCTTTTGCCCTCCCCAGGCTCCTAGAAAGGCTCTGGAGCTTGGGGAGAGCAAAAAATGGGCCTACTGGGCCCACTGTGCCATCATGTGCCAAAATTGGGGGGAGCATGGGGGGGCGGGGCACATAGAATTATGGATGTGGGCACGCGTGCGTGGGACCCCACTGCGCTCCCACCGCTTTTGGCACACGATGGCAAAAAGGTTAGCCATCCCTGCCCTACACCATTTCTGACAAATGGCAGTCCAATCTCTTCTTGAAAGCCTCCAGTGATGAAGCTCCCACAACTTCGGAAGGCAACTTCTGTTCCATGGGTTGATTGTTCTCACTGACAGAAAGTTTCTCCTTATTTCCAGGCTGAATCTCTCCTTGATACGATTCCATCCATTATTCCTTGTCTGGCCTTCGGGTGCTTTGGAAAATAGCTTGACCCCCTCCTCTCTGTGGCAGCCCCTCAAGTATTGGAAGACTGCTATCATGTCTCCCCTGGTCCTTCTCTTCACTAGACTAGCCATGCCCAGTTCTTGCAACCGTTCATCGTATGTTTTAGTCTCCAATCCCCTAACATGCATTTACGACCATGTAACCACAATTTATTATTTTTGCCTAAACCCAGAATTTTTTCCTGATTTTTGGCAAAAATGCCGCTAGCGAACAATGGGTTCTTTTTAACAACTGCTTCAAAACAGGTCATAATATCAAGTTGGTCATGTCGATCATGACTTGCGACCATAACAAGAAGGCTCCATTACGGCCGTAAGTCGAGGACTACCTCTATCCGGAGGACAGTCAAGCGAAGATTCCCAGAAACAAAGAACAGTCCAAGGTGAGAAGCTGTTGAGGGGCAAAGTTATCAGGGGCAGTGACCAAAAACAAACACCTTTGGAGCTGTTCTAATTTTTGTTTTTCGAAGAGAATCTGTCCTATTTGCTTGGAGAAAAGTTTACATTTGTCAAAGCAGCAATAACGAGCGAAAACAACGCAGCAGGCGGAAAGTGAACCTAGCCTGGGCATGCATCCAACGCACAGGGGAAGATCTCAGCCGTTAAGCCTTGCTGGCGTGATCCAAATGGGCAAGTTGCGATATGAGCCTGCAGCACCTCCAGGGATCCAGCGTGAAGCTGTGAGCTGGATCAGGAGTGGCATGAAAGGTGAAAATTGGAATTCCTCACCCTTAAAGAGCTGCAGCTGTTTCTCAGAAACCCCCACCCCCCACCCCTATTGCAGTGTTTCTCCTTCCATTCAGTGGTGGGTTGCTTCTGGTTCACACCGGTTTGCAAGAACCGGTAGTAAAAATTTGTAGTAGTCCGGAGAACCGGTAATAACATTGGCTGGCCACGCCCCTGAACCGGTCCCCCGCCCGGTTGCAGCTCACTTACCCCGCCCACCTCATCAGAGGCTTTTTTTTTTTTACTTTTAAAAGCATTTCTTTGGCCGAAGAGGTTGTAGAAAAAATGCTTTTAAAAGTAAAAAAAAAACAGCCTCTGATGATCGCGCAGCTCAGCTGGGATCGTCAGAGGCTCCTGAAACCATTTTTTCTGCAACCTCTTAAGGTGTTTTTAAAAGTAAAAAAAAAAAAGAAAAAGAAAAAGTTGACCACGCCCATCCAGTCACATTACCCCCACCAAGCCACACCCATAAAATAAGCCATGCCCACAGAACCGGTAGTAAAAAATTTTAGAACCCACCCTTGCTTCCATTAGACCAATTAGACCAATTTTCGGCACCAAGTGCCAAAATGGGAATGTGCACGCATGCGCATGGGTGCCAGAAACCGGAAGAGCAGCTTCCCAGCGTGCGTGCGCAGGAGCACCAAAAACCGAAAGCTCAGCTTCCCGGCGCACACATGCATGCCAGCCACCTGGTCTTCCGGTTTCTAACATCCATGCACGTGTGAAGACCAGCTGGCCGGCAGGCGCATTCGCACCAGGGAGCTGCTCTTCCAGTTTCGGCACCCCCATCAGTGGTGGGTTGCTACCAGTTCTCCCCGGTTCTTGCGAACCGGTAGTGGAAATTTTGAGTAGTTCGGAGAACCGGTAAATACCACCTCTGACTGGCCCTGCCCCCCAATCTATTCACTGCCTCCCGAGTCCCAGCTGATCGGCTAGAAGGAAAATCGGCATTTTCACTTCAAAGGGCCGCCCTACAGCTGATCAGCGGTAAAAGGCAGTGTGGTGGTAGACTGGAATGCTCCAAAAACAAATGGGTAGACCGGTACGGCTCTGCAAGCAGTTAAAAGCCTGGTAGACCAGTACCTCTGTTAAATCCTAAAGAATTGTCACATGACCATCAAACCACGCCCACAAAATAAGCCACACCCACAGAACAAAAATTTAGTACAAAAATTTAGAACCCACCCCTGGCCCCTGTGGGTACAAAGACCAGTTGGTCGGCACGCATGTGCATGCCAGTACCCAGAAGAGCAACAGGCGACGGCTGGCGTGCCCAGAGAGATGACTCTGCGTGCCACTTCCGGCACGCGTGCCATAGGTTCATTATCACGGCATTAGACTATTGTTTCTCAACTTTAGCAACTTTAAGATGGGAGGACTTCAACTCCCAGAATTCCCCAGCCAGCATGGGTGAAGTCCACCCATCTTAAAGTTGCTAAAGTTGAGAATAATGGAAGGAGCTTGGAAATTATAAAAAATTGTAGGATGCTTTTGTCACCCTCTTATATTCCTGAAATATAAAGAT